GGCGGGGCCAGCGCTGCGCGTGCGCACGGAGGGGCCGGTGCCGGCGGGGCTCCCCCGGCCCTGAGGGTGACGGGGCCCGGCTGAGCCCGGCCCGGCCGCTGCCTCCTCCAGTGCCCCTGTACCCCTTCTCGTGAAACTCCGCATCCAGCTCCCCCTCCTCGGGGCAGCAGAACTGAGTGTACGTGCTGGCAGCCTCGGTCCAACTGTGAGAGGATAAATACATAGCAGAACACATAGATATTAATAATTCCCAAAAGCGTTGCTGGCTTTTCTCCTACTGAACTACGATTTCAGGTCCTTGACTGAAGATTTTGCTTCTTTTCAGTTACCTTATGCCTGCCTTGTAATGTCTACGAGTCTCAGGGAAACTGAATGGGTTCTGTAATACCTTTAAGACCTGGACCTGGAAGCTCATCAAGCAAATAAAGCTGTGCTATGTTGATAAACTCTTGTTTGTTTCTTTGCTCTGAAGTACACTATTACTGCAAATATCCTTTAGTATTTAGTGCCTACAATGAGAAGGCTTTTTAAAATCTTCATTTTTATTTGAATCTTCATGTTTTAAGTAGAAGGAATTTTTTAACTGCTGAAACAATTTAAAATGTGAAGTGCAAAGTCTTTCAGCAGACTGAGAAAGGCAGCAACCAGGGACATTTAAGGACACAGCAATGTCAAGCTGTTGTCAAAACTAAACTATGGCATGGAAGGGTAGGCTCAATTTTCCATAAACTGATTAAAAAAGGTCAAAAGATGAGTTGTCCTGGAAAGAGAAAAAAGGGATTTGTATTATTAGCTAGGAGAGAAGTTTTCAAATGACAGGCTGCTTCTTTCCTAAAGCACAGGAGGAAACTGAAGATTTTCCTACATGTTAGCATGTTAGCAGACTTCTGTCGGTTAAGACATCACTAATGTCAGATATGGACACTAGTAAGAAGGAAGAAGGGCTATAATCCAGCATTAAATATTATTGCATCAAAGCAGGTACTTGCAATATAAAACAGTTATGTTGTATCCTGACTGTGACTCCAAGGATCCCAGGTGGAGCTTGCTGAAAATCTGTATGGCTTCATGGAAGCCAGAGCAGGGAGAGATCCCACAGGCCTTTAAAGCTTGTCCTGTGGTGGTCTATCCTTGGTGCATTTGCAACTCTAGACCTTTTTTAACTTTTCAACCTCGACACACAGTTTTACCTAAGCAGGGGAGATCTATCTTTTCCCTCTCAGCCTCACCTATTGCCTGGAAAAGTCCATTACAAAGGCTGTAAAAGTACAAAATCTGTATTATAAGCTGGAATGTCTTTGAAGTTATATTTTCAGTGCAGTCATTTTCACATACAAAGTTAACTTCTAATGGACCAAAAATTCAGTTCTGATTTTGGTTACATACCCATATAGCTTCTGATATTTTCACATAGCATGTATGCATGTGTGCTTATCTTCTGCTGAAGTATTTAATTGCATTGAAGTTCAGTTTGTTTTTCTTTTATTTTTTAATTTTTCCACATGTAGCTAACTGCTTGCTGCAGGGCAGCTACTAAACCACTGGCAGTGTGGTTTCATGGGAAGGACAAGTTTTTTGGTGTTTTTTTTTTGTTTGTTTGTTTGGGGTTTTTTTGTTTTGGTTTTTTTATGTTGTAACATAGCCACAGTCTTCAACCCCCCTGTATGCAAGCATTAGTGATGACAACTGTTACTGGAGCTGGTTCTGGCAAGTTTTGAGATGCAGATATGCTCTTGAACTAGCAAGACTGAGAAATTAAACAGTGTGTCTTCCCTTACGATCAGCCTTGTGGGGTTTCTGGGAAGGATCCTGGCAGATCTTGTGAGGCAGTAGCTCAGAGCTCAGCTGGTCTAGAGGGATGTGAAAGAACTCAGACTCTCAAGGAAGCTCAAATAGAACGACAACTTGGAAAGGAAGCAATTTTGTTTCTGTGACTCTGATTTGGGTAATGAAAAATTAGGTTCTGTAAATTATGGTCAGTGATAAGGGGCAAAGGGGCAGTGATTTAATTTTTAATCCATATTTTTTTCAGTCTCCTGCTCTAAAATTATCTCTATAACTATGATAAACACATCCTGGGATGATGAACACATACACTGGGATGCACCCAGTATAACCAGTAAGAACCTACCTTGTCTAAATGCTGGCTCTTAGCAGCAGATGAGCCTTCGTGCTTGATAGCCTGGTTGTGCTGTTAAGGGTGTGACCTCTGGCTGTTGGCCAAATCTTCATTCTTGCTTTTCAAGTAGGCTTTTACTCCACAGATTTTGGTACTTATTATTGGGACAGAATATATTTATGGATTTTGTTCTGAGGAAATGCTGTATGTGGACTATGACTGATCCTATGGATGCATACAGAAAGGCTTGGACTGACTGACTAAGAAAAAACTAATTCAAACCAGTACATTTTCAGAGTTAAGTGGCCACAGGATTTGAGCATCTTTGAACTTTCATTTACATGCATTAAGGTGACCTGAGATGTCTGAGCCTCAGGCATGTGACTGCCACTTTGTGGAGCAGTCCCAGTGGATGCAGTGCTTTGCTAAATATTTAAAGATGCTCCTTTGTCCCAAAGTGCTTAGGCCTAAGATTTTCATTTATTCATAGAGCTTAAGCCCAGACAGGAACATTAGATCATTCTTTCTGACCTCCTGTGTGACACTAAAAATACTCACTCAGTAGCTTCTACATCAGGCCTGAGTCTTGGAGATGAGGTGGCACAGATGGCTTGGCAGGATATCACATTTTGATTTAAATGCACTGAACAGTAGAAAATTCACTACATGACTTGGTAGATTGTTCCAGAGGCTGATCCTTCTAGCTCTCTTTCACGTAGCCTGAAACACACTAGCTTTAAAAATGTCATGTGATTAAAACAGAGGCTGTTAAACACAGAAGCAGAAAACACTTCAATAGAATTTTAGACCAATCCACAACTTTGTAAAATCTTGAGGCTGAATTTCAGAAGAATAATTTTTCCCTTACCTGATTAGAGTTCTGAAATGGGATGGACACCAGACGTTTCACCTAAAACTTCTCTAAACAGTTATGTGCTTCCCTGTGCTATAGCTGTTCCTAGAAATACTGCTTTTGTGGCTGAGCTGTTCAGCTGGCTACATTCGTCCTGTCTGACACCAACTTAAAAGCCAAAAATCCCCACACTATTCTAGAGGGGTCAGTTAGTCAGGTATGGAGTGTCCTAGTGCCCACAGGCAGTGCTGTTCTGCTGAAAAACATGGCAGTAGCAGATTTTTATGCATATCAGTTTAGCTTCTCTATTTTTCAGTCCTTTCCTGATGAAGTATCAACTGTGGGTCTGAGCCAACACCCTAGGAGATTTCTGTGCTGGTGGTGAAAATGCTATACACTGAGGCACACCGATACTTTTAAAACAAAATGCCAAAACTGTGAAGTTGTGATGAGAATAGATAATAAATGATTTAAGGGCTGCATTACTTCTCAGGAGGGCATAGAATTGCCGGCAGCATTGGCAGAAATGGGAATTCCATCCATGATAATAAAGCATCTGTATCTCTTTGTACCAATGAGTTGAGTGGCAAGTATCTCTCAGAGCCATGGCAGTGTAATAAAGCTAATATATCAACCTAAGAGAGATGCTAAGCTCTTTGAAAATAATTGTGTAGTTGGCAAGCAATAACTGTTACTCTTTATATTGCAGAGAAATAAAATTGTTTGGGTTTTTTTTCCCCTCACTCTCCCTGCTGTGGTGCATTTAAGAAATTAAATGCAGAAATCTACTCCTAATGTACTACTAGGTTGGAAAACTAATGACTGCAAATGGGAACAAATTCCAGAAGTGAAGGTTTCTCCCACTGCTTTTCTGTGGTTAGATTGCTCATCTTTTGTATTTCCAACAAATATTGCTAGACAACAGCTCACACATAAGGAAGTTCTTGATAATGCCATTTTTTTAGCAAAGCTCCATGTTTGTGGTTATTTGGGCTGTATTTTTCTCCAAAGGTATTAAAAAGTGATTTTCTAGGCAAATCTGCTGCAGCTTGTTAGAGGCCTTTTCCTGAGCTTGTAGCCAGATCATTGTTTTTACGTGTGTCTTTGCTACATATCTTTCATAGGTGTGTGTGCACAAGGTTTTTAAGGCCCTGTAGAAAAAGGAGAAAAAAATATAGAAGCTTTAAGAACTGAGTAAGCGTGTAATAGGCTCTTGGCATCAATCTTAGGCAGGCAGAGAGGGAAGACAAACCTGGGTGTTTATTGTCTTTTCAGACCAGCCTTTCACATTTTGCATACTTTAGAGATGTTCACTGACAAGCTTAGGGCAAAGCTCTGGCTCTCACATCCCAGAACCAGGATCTTCTGCTGTCCTACCCAGGCAACCAAAGGCTGCTGCTTTTCACCTGCTCTTGACTTGTGTAGGTCTCCTTGCAATGACTGCTAGCACCTGTGATGATCCCTAGAGCTGGCAGAGTCCTGCTCGGGCTGTGTTTGAACTGTCGGTGGTGCCAGGAAGAGAAGCATAATAAATATTTGAGTACTTGAAAATCTCTCACCTCCTCAAAAACTGGGCTGTCTGAGACCGGTGGTGGCCACCTGCCGGCTTTAACACTAGAGGGAGGCATCGCCTAAAAGAAATCACGAATGCTTCCAAAATAGCACAATTTAAAACTATTTATATGTCTTGGAAGGGAACTAAACACTGATTTCTTCTTAAAGCCTCTGTTTTTATTGGAATATATTATGGGAGGCCTCATTTGCTGCTGAGAACGCTCTTGGCCAGAGTGAAATCCAACCCTCCTGATGAGGTAGGCAGATCCAGCCTGCGCTGCTCTGCTTTGTCTTAGCTGGGCTCTCCTGGGACAACACTTTGCTTCAGGCCTGGAGGTAGTACAGCCTCTATAAATAGCCCATTGCTGAATTGTTGTGTGACCAGATTTTGAAGGAGGTGCAAATGGATAAAGAATTGTGTTGTTTTATTTCAGACTGACACACTCAAACCGATTTTGCTGTCTTGGCCTCAGTTTGTACTCGGGGCAGAGGTCAGGAAGATGAAATGTCAGTTCTTCACTCTGTAGTCATTTCTCCCTAATTTCAAGCCTATAAGCAAAGTAATAGGGATTGACTTAATGGTGGTGGCTATTTAGGAATGGTTGCTGTCCCTGAAGAGGTTTTCCCTCTCCCTCTTTACTCCATTAGCTTGTCCTGTTACAGCATGGATCCTGTGCCATAAAAATGGGAGGTAGTGCACAGCTCCCTGGTTCATGGTAGACTTCAATGCCTTTAAACTGCATCTTTCTACATTGCACAAAAAGAATGTAGAAGAATGGGAATAGTTATTTGTGGGGTCCACAGCAGTTGGCAGTAACTCAGAGTTGTATAAAGCATATATTGTAATTAGCAGAGAGCCGAGAAGGAAAGTAGGGTAAAAGAAAGGGCCCAGGAGCTCTGGGTATCCTTCCCAAATCTTT